GTCAGATAATAGAAAGACCGGCTTGTCAATGTCAGAAGAAAACTGTTGTCCTATTAGCAGATTATCAAGAAATTTAGATCTAACTGCTGTGTACATAGGACAAAATAGTATATGCATAGCTCTATTGTGTGACTGCAAGTACTGTGGAAATGCCGGGAGAGATCTTGGCTCGTGCTGTAGTTCAAAGGACAGTCCATTGGAAGGTGGCTGGTGGGGAAGGGAAAGGAAGGGGTTAAACTACCTACTGGACTGTAGCCTTAAGTGGAATGGCTCATCATTTAATGGTGAGATATCACAGAAATAAATAATGCAAGATCAGACAGCTACTGGGAGATAAAAGTAACATGTATCCTTTAAAGGAAATAAAATCCATATATATTTCAACATTATCCTCCCCATTTCGACGATAACTTTTATAACATTAGAGCAGTGAGGCAGAAATGGATTTTTGCTGGCTTTAAAGTGGTTTGGAGTCTGCTTTTCACAAATAGCTGCTAACATGCCAGTTCCCACAGTGGCAGAATTTTATGGTTCCAAGCCATTTTCCTCCGTCTAGCGGCGTTGACCTCCCGTCTCACATTGATTACTTTCCTGGTTAACTGCTGCATATTTATTTAGTTCTGGGGTTATTTTTTCTTCATCAAAAATACAAACTGGTATCTGTGCATCATCATGCTAAGAAATATCCCTGCAAAGTTTGGAATATATATTCATTTATTTAGGTTTGTTAGCCTCTATATCCCCCTCCCTGCGAAATAAACCACTCTTCACCACTGAACATAGCTGTTTAGCCAAATGTGTTGAGGATCAGAATACTCATTATGTCAGAGGAACACGTTCAAATCTTCCAACAGAGATATTACAGAGCAGTCTGAGAAGGTAATTGAGGTGAAGGTTGCAGAGCCAGAGTGAAGGGGGTTATAACAGCTTGCAGGGAGGGGGGCTGTTAGGAAAGGAGCATAGGGTTGCCAAGTCCATCTTCCACCCCCAGCGGGGGACTTTGGGAGCGTTCCTGGAGGGGGTGGGGCATCCCCAACGTGATGACGTCATGTTGGGGACGTCTGCCACCCCACCCGCCTGTGCGCCAGATCTCCAGAAACGGCAGCTCCCTGCAGTTAAAGTAGCCGGCAGCCAGCATTTCCCCTTTAAGAGCAGCTGCGTTTCCCTTTTAAGAACGAAGCTGGCTTTTCCCTGCAAGCTTGCGGAGTTCGCGCTTGGGATGAAACACGGGTTGCACACCCTTAAAGGGAGAGAGATGGGTGGCTGTGGGTGCTGGGGGTGGGGCTTCCCCCGCCGGCTATCTGGCCGGCGGCGGGTAGAACCCCCCCAACCCCCAAAATGGGGGCCCCGGCGCACACGGGGGGGGGGGGTTGGCAACCCTAAAGGAGCATGGGAGAACCCACCCAACCTGTGACCCAGCACTATGAGTCACTCACATCCTGTTGGTGCTTTTAATATTAAACGTGCCTCAGAAAGTCCATGCACAAGCACACCCTTATTATCTGAACTGACTTCATAGAGAGACGGTATCCAGGGAATCTTTTGGTGGATCAGGGGAATGCTGTAGACATAGTTTATCTTGATTACAGTAAGGCTTTTGGTAAGGTTCCACATAATATTCTTGTTGACAAATTGGTAAAATGTGGTTTGGATCCTATGACAGTTAGGTGGATCTGTAACTGGTTGACAGATCGCACCCAAAGAGTGCTTGTGAATGGTTCCTCATCTTCTTAGAGAGGAGTGACAAGTGGAGCGCCGCAAGGATCTGTCCTGGGACCTGTTTTGTTCAACATTTTTATCAGTCATTTGGATGAAGGAATAGAGGGAATGCTTATTAAATTTGCAGATGATACTAAATCGGGAGGGGTAGCAAATACAGTAGAAGGCAGAGTCAGAATACAGGATGATCTTGACAGGCTGGACAACTGGGCTAAAACAAATAAAATGAATTTCAATGGTGATAAATGTAAAGTTCTTCATTTAGGTAGGAAAAATCTAATGCATAATTATAGTATGGGGGACACTTGTCTTGGCAGTAGTATGTGCAAAAAGGATCTAGGGGTCTTAGGAGACCATACACTGAACAAGAGTCAGCAGTGTGATGCAGAACCTAAAAAGGCAAATGCGATTTGGGGCTGTCATCAACAGAAGTATAGTGTCCAGATCACGCGAAGTGATGGTATCACTTTATTCTGCTCTGGTTAGACCTTACCTAGAGTATTATGTTCAGTTTTGAGCACCAAAATTTAAGAAGGATATAGAGAAGCTGGAACGTATCCAGAGGAGGGCAACGAAGATGGTGATGGGTCTAGAGACCAAGTCCTGTGTGGAAAGGTTGAAGGAGCTGGGTATGTTTAGCCTGGAGAGGAGACGACTGAGAGTGATATGATAACCAACTTCAAGTACTTGAAGGGCTGTTATATATAGGATGGTGTTTCCTGTTGGACCAGTACCAGTGGGTTGAAATTAAATCAGAAGAGTTTTCAGCTAAACATGAGGAAGAACTTCCAGACAGTCAGAGCGTTTCCTCAGTGGAACAGGCTTCCTCGGGAGGTGGTGGGCTCTCCTTCTTTGGAGGTTTTCAAGCAAAGGCTAGAGGGTCATCTGACAGCAATGCTGATTCTGTGAACTTAGGCAGATCATGAGAGGGAGGGCAGGAAGGGTTGCCTCGGTGCTTTGTTCTTGTGGCCCTTTTTTACATGACCAGGGAAATGCGGATGCCACTTTGGGGTCATGAATCAGTTTTTCTCCAGACCAGTTTGGCTGGAGATCCTGGAGGTGTTTTGTTAACTTCTGGGCATGGAACAGCAGTCACTGGGGGTGTGGGAGGGAGTATTTGTGAATCTGCTGCATTGTTCAGGACTAGATGACCCTGGAGGTCCCTTCCAATTCTGTGATTCTGTGGCCCCGGTCACACGGAGCATTAGGCACGCTGGAGAGATGGAAGATAGGCAGATTTTCCGGGCGCGATCTCACCGCCACATCTAGGAAGCGTAGAGCTCCCGTGGCTCACCCGAGGCTTCACTCCGAAGATGCGCTGTAAAAAACTAGTACCTCCAAGGTACTAGTTTCCGGAAACCGTGGGGCAAGGGCAGGCGTCAGATCACGTTTCCGGTGTTAGCTCGTGGCATCCGGCGCCCGCCCATGTCCCGTCGCAAAAAGTTTTTTTTTGTCAAGTCTCCACGGGTGCGCACAAGCACCCAACGGCGCATGCGAACACTTGGGTTAAAAAAAAAAACAACAACCCCCGCAGTGCTTCTTTCCCGCGCCGCAGGAGTGAGGTATGATCGGCACCTCCCCCCAACCACGGGACGTCGGCAGGATGTTTGATCCGGCTGCCACGCGGTAGTTCGCTCCGGGGCAAACAGCCACGCCTCCCCCCGTGATATCCGGCCCGTGTGACCGGAGCCTATGAAACTCAGATTGTGATAAGAGGAAAGTATCTCTGAATATCAAGACAAACGTAATTCCATTCAAAGTACTAAATTGTCTTCATACCAAAGAGGCAACAGCTTTGATAGGATAAAAGCACAGGCCATCCAGAGACTTCAGCCTGTCTCAACGTCAGCCGCTGTGCCATTCCATTTAAGTCAGCAGCGCATGTTTCCAAAAGCATACAATTTTGGAATTGTCAGTAGTTTGCAGTTGCCAGGGGAAAAGGTATGGAACAGGCCATAATGGCCTGTGGCCGGTGAAGTAGGAGATGTTGATTATAGGGTTTCTTAGGCAGGCAGAAGAATTTTTGGCATGGGAAAGTGTTTTAAGGGCAAGCGATGGCACAGGAAGGGGGGGGAGCTTGGATTATTAGGGAGCCACTCAGCGACTGAAGGCAGCAAACTGGAAAGAGACTGGACTCGAGAAGAGCTTTTGGCAGGCAAGATGGGGAAAGGGTCGCACATTAGGACTGGATGACAAGGAACATTTTTAGAAGTCAACTGCGCATCCTGCTTAGAGCTGCCAAATCTTGCAGTAAATAATTCTCAACAGCAGATGTGTAAATCATCCCTTTGAGGCCCGGTGTGACAGGACCGGATACCGAAAAATGTTTCGGCACTGAACTAGCCAAAGTTACAAATGACTACAAGATGACTAGTGGGAATTCTGTACCATGGCAAATGAGGCTGCTTTTCTGATCCAGAAAGATTGGGTTGGATCCAGAGTGGAAAGGAACATCTACTTAGCACAGTTCCACCTGCATAAGCAGTGGCATAATGGCTCTAGCAACACATGGCACTTTAATATAATAATTTATGAAATATCAGTATTCATATGGGTCAATGGAATGTACAACTGACAGTTCGCATGATTTCATTGAATCTATTTTTTAAATAGTATCAGAAGACATGCCAGCGTGGTGTGGTGGTGAAGAGCGGAAAAGACTCTGATTCTGAAGAACCAGGTGTGATTCCCCAATCTTCCACATGAAGCCTGCTGGTTGACCTTGGGTCAGTCACAGTTCTCTCAGAACTAAGAACATAAGAGAAGCCATGTTGGATCTGACCAGTGGCTCATCCAGTACAACATTCTGTGTCACACAGTGGCCAGAACCCAGGTGCCATCAGGAGGTCCACCATTGGGGTCAGAACTCCCGAAGTACTCCCACTGTGGCCCCCCAAGCACCAAGAATACAGAGCATCACTGCCCCAGACGTAGGGTTCCATCGATACCTTTTGGCTAATATTTATATATTTTAGATTTCATGACCACTGAAGAAGACTTTGTCGAAGTGCATTTGATGTGTATAAGACAGTCTTTACTGTGTTATGTATAAATGTGTATTTTGTATTCATTTTTGATTTTATATACTTTTGTTCTTGGTTTTAACAGTCATAAAGACTTTTTTTGTTAATATTGTTTTTCTGCTACTTCTTATTTTCTGGTTCCATTTAGTCACCATGGCTTATAACCAGTGATAGACCTGTCCTCCATTTTGAGCCATCCCTCACACAATATGTTTTGCATGATTCTTATCTCTTGTCTTTATCATCTCCCCTCTCCAGGTCACAGTCACAGATGGAGGCGTCTCCCCCCGGCAGTCCACAGTCTGGCTGGTCGTTCAGGTTCTGGATGAAAATGACAACAAGCCCCAGTTCCCCGAGAAAGTATATCAGATCAAGTTGCCCGAAAGAGACAGGAAAAAAAGAGGGGAGCCCATCTACCGAGCCTTTGCCTTTGACAAGGACGATGGTCCTAATGCAGAAATCTCCTACAGCATAGTGGATGGAAATGACGATGGGAAGTTTTTCATTGACCCAAAGACCGGAATGGTATCTTCCAGGAAGCAGTTCACGGCTGGGAGCTACGATATATTAACCGTAAGCATTTAATACTGGGACAAGACAAAAGTTGTGGTCCATTTTCAACTTTCAGTTATTGGGTTTAAAAAAAAACAAAAAAACTTTATTCTGTCACCTTTTTAAGCTGACCTAGGATCAGCATGGATGGCTGATCCATTCCACATCTGGGGACTTTGTCCAACTTTTCTACCCCTAGAGACTACAAGTCCTTCTACTCCCTGGGAGGGAACTTATTTGATTCCAGGAATTTAGTGGGGAGGGGAAATTTAGTCCGAATGTTCATCCAGCACTGTGTCTCTCTGCCTTTTGGGGCTCTTAAGACAACAGTGGTGGCCATGAACTCTGGATCCCAAAGCCACTGGATCCCATTAGATCCCTTCCTCTGTTTCCCGGCCTCCTAGTGGAATACACTGGACTCTTTGAGTGAGTCATATTTAAAGTCCTCTGGCTCCTTTAAGGATGAACAAGTTTGCCATGGCACATCCTTTCGGAGGCAAGGGTCTGCTTTGTCATCAGGCCTGTGATTTCTATGACCAGGCGTCTTGGGAAGATCTTCAGGAGAATGAAAATTAGTTGGACAAATATTTTTAGGTCCCTCCAGGTCCAGTTACAGTCATCCTGGACCCTTACTTAAAATATTGGTCATATTACAACATAGTGTTCAGATCTGTCTCTTTGGCAGAGGAAATAAGGACCTGCCTTATATATGGAATAAAACTTTGTTGGTCTTGAAGGTGCCACTGGACCCAAACTTTGTTCTGCTGCTTCAGACCAACACGGCTACCCCACCTGAATCTGCCTTATATGCAATTATAGCATTGTAGCTTGGAATTCCTTATTATGGCTGGCAGCCATGTTTCAAGTCTCAGGCTTTGCCAGTCCGACACCCCGAGTGGCTGTAACCCAGTGATACTCCTGAGTGGCTCAGGAGCTACTAGTGGCGCTTCGACATGCCATCTGTGGCGCTTCGTTTCCCAATGTAGCACCTGCTTCATGTTTCAGCAAGGGGCAAGGTCCTTGCCCAGAGGGTCTTGTGGTTGGCATTTGGTTCTGTGAGGCAGAGGCCTCTTGCCAGGGATGGAAGTAAATGTGGCTATTTTGGCTGATGGTAGTTACATATGTAGCTCTTCCTGTGTGCATGCGCACAAAAGCTGTGTGCATGCACACGAAAGCTTATACCCAGAATAAATGCTCCCTCTAAGCTGTGGAGTCTTGTAAGCAAAAATTCTACTATGTGAGCTACTGGCATTAAAGTTGTGAGTGAGCAATTTGGCTGCTGCATACATTAGTTTGCTCTGGAGCCACCCTTCCTGAGCTAAGACAAAAATCTGTGAGCCGGAGGCTAAAGAACTGTGAGCTAGCTCACACTAACTCAGCTTAGAGGGAACACTGCCCAGAATTAAACTTTGTTGGTCGTAGAGGTGCCACTGGACTCAAAATTTGTTCTGTTGCTTTATCCAAAGATGCCCAGGGTTGGCTCTTGATACAGGCAAATGACTATTCAGCGATGACCCTTAGAGAAACATCCTTTTTCAGATGTCATGCAAAGAGTTGTCCATGTTTGGACCGACAGTACTATCTTAGAGGTCCAAGAGACAAAAACTAAGCCCTAAAACCCTTTCACCCAGAAGGACACTAATATCTCCTTCTGTATCCTCTCCAGATAAAAGCAGTTGACAATGGCCGGCCGCAGAAGTCTTCAACCGCACGACTGCACATTGAGTGGATTAAGAAACCGCCACCGTCTCCGATCCCACTGACTTTTGACGAGCCCTTCTACAACTTCACCGTCATGGAAAGCGACAGAGTGACAGAAATCGTTGGCGTGGTCTCGGTGCAGCCAGCCAACATCCCTCTGTGGTTTGACATCGTCGGTAAGCCCGGCCATGGGGAAATAAGCAGCAAAAGTATTGTGTGGTTTGTGAGAAAGAGAAAACTAACAAGGAAATCAGCTCCCTGGGACTGAAACTGCATTTGTGATGCTGAAAAAGGAAATGGCTTTTTAATATACTACTATACTACCTCTCACGCTTTGGTTATGATGCCTTAGCTAAGCTGTATGGCTGGATTTGTTTCTTTCTCTTCCATAATATGTGATTGACTTGCGATCCTAATGTTGTCTGTCATTTAAAATCTCTGGCCATAGTTTTGCTAATCTCATTTCTAAATGTATTTTGATGGTTAACTTAGATCGGCTGTCCCTCATTTCTCTCTCTCTCTTTTCTCTTCACACTTTTTTGTTTATTTCTTTTGCATTCTGTTATCTGGTTTTGTTTTCTTTCCGCTTCCGACTGCTCTGCTTCAAGGTGGCAAGCATGCACGAGAGATGTTCTATATCCTACAGACAGCTTGTGGGCAGAACTGTTCAACAGAAGGTACCTTCAGCGCAAACACATTTGCTACAGTACACTTTCTAAACTACTTTTCTTTCTTTTTGGTTTGTTTTGGTATTATTAATATTTTTAAGTGTTCTCTGAAGCCGGTTGTACTTGCATCTTTTCTAGCTGCTTGGGACACAATACGTGGACGTTACGCATCCTTTTCTCAGCATTTTGCATATTTGCACCGAATTACTGTCTTCCTCTTGGCTCGTCAAAAGTTTTACCTTTCAAAATATCATTTGCCTGCAAATGTGTCAGTGGAAGCAACTAGACTGTAGATGTTGGTACTAGCCTAGGGGGAGGGGCACATCAAAGGCCCTTTCCATAGTTGAACAAACAAGTTCACAGACCAGGTTCTCCGCTTATTCTCCTCTATTGGTGGCACTTGCAATACACTGTCCTGTGGTTAACTTCATGAGAGCTTGGCTACTGTTTTGGTCTCTTTGCCAGCCTACTTCCCTCACGGGCGCCCCTTAAGTCCTTTCCCCTGAGAGCCGACCTTCCTGCTTAGTCCCCTGGCATGGGCGGCTGTTCTTCCCCTATCATGCTCCACCTGTCTCTCTTTCACCTTCCTTCCCTGCCTTCTGAGTCAGTTTCCCTCACCTTTTCTCTCTTCCTGCCTTCTCTCTTCTCTTCGGTCCCCTTCCCAAGGACCAGCCCAACTCTTGTGTGGCGACCTTTCTCACTCACATAGAGGGCCTGCCATCCTCCACAACCTCTCTTCCACAGGTTCAGGGTTACAAGTAGGTCAGGCAGTCACATGTCTCTATGCACCTTGATTCTTTTAAAATATAGAGAGAGCCATGACCATTTCACATCCCGAGTCCTCTCTCTTACTCCCACAGACATCACTAGACAGAGTAACCCAGCCCCCTTTAATAATTGCCCCTCACTCAGACACTGCACAGAGCTATTGGGGTTGGGGATTCAAACACTGCCACCATTTATTCATATCCTAAAATATATAGAGACCTTAGGCTGTGTGTGTACGTTTCTTTCCCTGAGACAACCAAACCACAGGGTTAAGCAAACAAGGATGTAACGTTTATTTATATTTTGAACAGAACATTGGAGTAGATCCAGTAGAGGTTACAAAGTTTCTTTTCAATTGAACTTTCACTTGAATTGTTGCCTTATTCCAGCATTTGAGATCCTTTGTTACAAACTGACCCTTTCTAGTCAGCTTCAGGCTGTTCTTCTCCACAGCTTCACTCAGCCAGACTTTCGCGTAACTCCCCAATGGCTGTCTTGAACTGTCTTAACTACTGTTTTCAACTGTCCCTCTCACTAACATTCCATCAGCTCCCATTCATTGCTCTGAGGGAGAGGCAGAACCTAACCTATCCATCACATCTTCCCACATGGCCTTCTTATGGCCTGTCAGAGCCTGCCATTGTCCTCACAGCCACATGCCTCAAGGCTCCTCCCATGCTCCTTTGTGTTCCCAGTGGTTTGGCCCATCCTTGGGCAATTGTATGTCTCTCCAATATTCCCTTGGGGGGCAGAAGCCATACCCCCACTCAAGACAGGCGGGAACCTGACCCCGACCACAGTTCTGCCACCATCACCTCTTCAGGTTTCCTCATGCCATCCCTTTTGGAGCGTAGGCCCCTTTGGTAAATGCCTCTCATCCCACCCTCAGGCCAGGCTGCTTTGGGGGCCACCACACTAGCCCATAAATATTATAAGTAGCCCATATAATATTGCATAACTTATTTAGTGTATCAGGCATTGACTGTGAGAAAGAAAGGGGCAAAATAACCAAGCCAACAGTGTGCAATCCATATGGCTTGTTTCCACCACAGTCATCACCCCTTTGTTTGATCACCTGAAGGCAGTGGTTACACACCTCTAGTGCTTATGTATGTGGCTGGATAGAACCCTGTTTTAAAGCGGGGTGTCAAACATAAGGCCCGGGGGCCAGATCTGGCCCATCCAGGGCTTTTATGCGGCCCACAAGCATCTAGTGTAACGGAGGGAACAGGAACTGCTCAGGGGGGAGTGGACAGAGCCACCCCAATTGTGGCTTCAGCACGGCGGAACAACTTCGTCTACAGAAGTCAAGCGGTGTAGGAGTGTCTGCCCAGTGCTGCACCGCTGGTTGTCCAGTCCGCCCTTGCAGGTTTTCCTTTGCACCTCCCTCCCAGCGCATGAGGGCTCGCCGTGAGGATACACCAGCTCGGAGCTTACCAGCTGCCGTCCTTACAGTTTATATCTCCTGTACCTGCCATTACGTTTTATGGCACACATGGTTCAGCCCAACAAAGTGACATTTATGTCAGATCCGGCCCTCGTAACAAATGAGTTTGACACCTGGTTTAAAGTGTTAGTGTCACTTTTAAAAAAAGACAGAGAGAAGTGATCATTGGGAAGAAACAGGAGTCCAGTTACAGGATAAGTTAGCGGGTGCATTAGAGCTGAAGGTTGTTGCTTTGAAACTGTTTGCCTGTCCTTAAATCCCTCTGATGACCATGAGAGTTGTGAGTGTCTTTACCGCTGCAGCTGATATTACTAAATTTGTCTCCCCTTGAAGGCATGCTGAGTCAGATAAATAAGGCTGCCATCCAGGTGGGTTTTCTCTATATAACTTATGGGTGTCAGACTAGCTGAGTTAGGAAAAAGGAATTCGGGGATGAGAGCAGTGCAAAATCAGGAGGCTTCCCAATGTCAGCTTTCACCCTAGATCACTAGTCTTTCACAGGCCACCCACAAGCCTGATGTCAGCTTTGGTGGTCCTGTGCTGATCTCTGCTAGGACAGACATACAAGCCTAGCGGGTTCATAAGAACATAAGAACATAAGAGACGCCAATGTTGGATCAGGCCAAAGGCCCATCCAGTCCAACACTCTGTATCACACAGTGGCCAGAAATACCAGGTGCCATCAGGAGGTCCACCAGTGGGGCCAGGACATTAGAAGCCCTCCCACTGTTGACCCCCCCCAAGCACCAAGAAGACAGAGCATCACTTGCCCCAGAGCCCCTATCTATACCTTGTGGCTAATAGCCACTGATGGACCTCTGCTCCATATGCTTATCTAATTCCCTTTTGAAGCCGTCCATGCTTGTAGCACCCACCACTTCCTGTGGCAGTGAATTCCATGTGTTCGACCCACAGGGAAGTAGCAGCTCTCATGCAAAACCAGTCACAGCCACTCCAAACTCCTGGGATAATGGCTCTCTCTTTTATTATTTATTAAGCACTTTAAAAAGTCTACTGAGCACTGTTAAGAACAAAGGAAAGAGAACACTGTAAGAATGACTTACAGTCGAATAGGCATCATGCAGAAGGAGCGAGCAAGGGAAGAATGAAGCATGTCAATTTCCAGAAATTCAGTGACATTCACTTTGCCTAATGACAGCTGCAAGATGGAAGGGCTGCTAATGGAGTCTCTTTTATGAACTGCTTCCTAATTCACTTCCCCGTTTGGCACAAGTGTCAGTGGAGAAGCTGACATCTGGAAGCCTCTCTGGGGAGCAAGAGAGCTGCAGTCCACAGATGCATGGTGCTTCAGAGTAAACAAGTAGCCTACTCCACATGGCAATCCATTCATCTAGAATAGGGGTCCCCAACGCGGTGACCATGTGCCCAGCTGACACCTTACCTGGTGCCCACCTAGTGTTTTCAGAAAGTGAGTGGGACTGTTGCCTACCATGACTTCATCACTCCTCTTCTCGCCTGCACTTGAACTTCCTCTGGTGTGTATGTATGGCTCTGCCTCCTGGAGCAGCCATTTTGTGCTTAGTTCCACCTCCTGGGGCAGCCATTTTGTGCTTAGCTCCACCTCCTGGGGCAGCCATCTTGTGCTTAGCTCCACCTCCTGGGGCAGCCATTTTGTGGTTGCACCCATCATGCAATGGCAGAATCCCAAAGGTGCTCACAGGCTCAAAAAGGTTGGGGGGGGCCCCTGATCTAGAGGAGTTCAGTACAGACAAACTCAGATTTCCGATATGCAAGCACAAGCCTTCCTTTTTGCAACAGTGGGATAAGTCCTGAATGAGATTTATTCTGTCTTTAATTCAAGGGGTTTCACAGTGACAATTTTCTATCCAGTTTCTCAGATTTCTGAACATTCGAATCCAAGTATTAAAGAGAGAATGCTCCTCCGAGTCCCCCAGTATCAACTCCACAGAAAGGAGGGCATTCTAAATCCTGTGGGCATGGACTTCTGGAGGTCCAGGGATCAGAGATTCTGAGAGAATCACACCTGAATTTTGAAACCGCAACAGCAAAATAATAAAACTATCCCTTTGACTGCAAAATAATAATAATTAAAAACTAAAACGATGAGAATTTTCAACATTTAAAATGTCATGTGTTTCCACTTCTTTTCCCAGTGAGTGTGTGTGTGTGTGTGTGTGTGTGTGTGTGTGTGTAAAGTGTCCTCAAGTCACAGCTCACTTATGGTGACACCCACAAGGTTTTCAAGGCAAGAGACATTCAGAGGTGGTTTCCCATTGCCTGCCTCTGTGCCTAGTGATCCTGGACTTCCTTGGTGGTCTCCTATTCAAGTACGAGAGCCAATTTGGTGTAGTGTTTAGGAGCGCGGACTCTAATCTGGGAGAACCAGGTTTGATTCCCCCGCTCCTCCACATGCAGCTCATGGTGTGACCTTGGGTCAGTCACAAGTCCTCTCAGAGCTGTTCTCTCAAGGGCAGTCCTTGAGAGAGCTCTCTCAGCCCTGCCTACCTCACAGGGTGTCTGTAGTGGGGAGGGGAAGGGAAAGGAGTTTGTAAGCTGCTCTGAGACTCCTTTGGGTGGTGAAGGGCGGAGCATAAATCCAATCTCTTCCTCCTCCTTCTCCTCCTCCTCCTCCTGTTCTTCCTCTTCTTCTTCTTCTTCTTCACAGGGCCCACCCTGCTTAGCTCATGAGGTCTAGTCAGATGGAGCTAGCTGGGGCTATCCGGGTCAGGGCCTTTTCCAAGTGCCTGCCTACACTGAATGTTAGGGTTCTGTCCCGTTCCCTCCTAGAGATTAATGGGAAACACAAGGGATA